AGTCATTAGGATCTGTCTGTGGTTAATCTACCATCATGAAAGGTTACATTTCATTGCAAAGACGTTCTAACGGTAAAATCCTGACAAAACTGTTTTAAAACAGTTTGGGACTGCAATTGATCAGTCTCTTATTGGCAAACGTGCATACTGTGAAGGTGGCTTCGCTATTGCCTTGAATTACAATCATTCTGAGCAAAATTGGATGATGGCTAACGGTGGAATCCAGGACGAGCGTTTCATTCCATTTCGGTCTCGTCAACTAGTCACTTGCAGTCCTAAACACAAATAAGCAGATTCAAACAAACAATACGAGATGAATTAAGACTTTATCTCATCGCACAAGCTAATGGCTATCAGGACTCAGTAGATAAATGGATAACGCGATGGCTTTCGAAGTCAACGGTACTGGATTCGAGTGTCAGAGTGAACATCACATCTGAGATGCAGGTAAATCCAGTTGACGATTCCCAAATAGGACGAAACGTACGTCCTGGGTTCCACTGCTAACCACCATACATCTTTGCTTATATAAAATGGTTGTCAATATATATGTGAACGGTTCAATGAATATACAAACTGAGCTACTAATTCTGTTAAATATAAACATAATTGAACTTAGCATTAGTTATATTCTTCTTAATCGTCAGTCTGAGAGTGATATTCCATTTTTTCGACTGCCAGTCATTAGAAGTGTCAGTTTGCTTATCAATATGATTGTTATCCTCAGATTCTTATGTTATAAAATCTCTTCAGGTTTTGCTTTATGCTTTCTTTATCTTACTGATTATAATTCTTTCCTATTTCTGTGCCCAATATGTTAGTTTATATTTTAAACAGAGATTACTTACTTACGCATGTTACTCTTGGTGGAGGAGCATAGGCCTCCCACCAACACTCGCCATCCAACTCTGTCCTCCGCAGCCCTTTCAACTTCTTTCCACTTGTTATTCATCCTTTTCAATTCTGCTTCTATTTCCCGATTTAATGTGTTCTTCGACCCTCCTCATTTTCACTTCCCATCAAGATTCAAAGTTAGAGCTTGTCTCCTGATGCAGTTTGGTGATTTCCGTAATGTATGTCCTATTCATTTCCATCGTCTTTTCCTAATTTCCTCTTCAATTGGAAGTTGGTTTGTTCTCTCTCACAGTAAGCTGTTGCCGATGGTATCCGGTTAATGAATGTTGAGTATCACGCGTAGATAACTATTTATTAACACTTGTACATTGTTGATGATGGTTGTAGTAATTGTGGAAGTTTCATCTCCATACAGTAGAACTAACTGATTTGACGTTCATATTGAAGATTGTGACTTTGATATTGATTGAGAGAGAGAGTTGTTTTGAGTTCCGTATATTGTTCAATTGTAGGAATGGTGTTGTTGCTTTGCCAATCATGGATTTACGTCTGCATCCGATCCTCCTTTTTCATCGATGATGCCTCCTAGTTACGTGAAGGAATCCACATCTTCCAGAGTTTCGCCCTCAAGTGTTATTGGATTGGTGTTCTCTGTGTTGTATTTGAGGATGTTGCTTTTTCCCTAATGTATGTTGAGGCCTACTAATGCAGAGGCTGCTGCTACACTAGTTGTCTTCATCTGCATGTATTCGTTTGTATAGAATAGGAGGTCTTTAAAAAGAGATGAAACAGTTAAAAAAACTATTCCTATCAAGTCAATCAAGTATTTCCATGAGAGTGTAAATACTGTTAGAATGATATACAGCCTAGACATTCATCAATAAGACAACTAAAGATAGATAGATAATATGTTTAGTTGTCATCCAAAATTTGTTAACTTTTCACTAAGATACAGAAAGAAATTAATACTGGAAATCATATAAGCTTGACATTCTGGGAGATTTTTAGCTACAGGAGTTCTTCTCTCCTATTTACTTTTATTGAATCATGATCTGATAATTAAATTCATGAGTCAATTGAAGCTAGACCACCATCTAAAACCTGGAAGCACTGAACAGCCATTTCACCCTATTGTGGGACTCCTCAGCAGTGCATATCCACGGTCCCTCCTTGCAAGATTCAAACCCAGGACCCATCAGTCTCGTGCGCGCGAACGCTTAACCTCTAGACCACTGAGCCTACCAGCATCCAACGGTGTTAATGTTTAACTTTAATCAATCCACGAAATTGAATGACACGTCCACCATCGTCTTTAGTAAGTTACTATCTCATAACGGATCCTGATGAACTCAACTGGTTACTGCTTGTTACCTGGGTTCTAACCTTGCGATGGGGGATCGTAGATGCGCACTACTGAAGAGTTTCATACTACGACGAAACATTCTGTTCTTTTATTTATAAATCTGGTATGCTTTATTATTTAACCTCACATGGTCACAAGTAAACAATGTTAATTTTACAAAAAATTTTTTATAAATTATTATGGGTCAGTACTGACCCAATTATTTCATCATAACGTTTGTTTTCTCGTTTGATATAAGTGTGATTCTGATAAAATGTGTATGTATGTACGCACGTATTGTTG